ATTAGTAAACCGGAAGTTGGAATAGAAAAAAAATAAATCCTTCAGCTATGTATTTAAAAAAAAAATATTCAACTGTTTAAGAGGTTGTGTTTTTTTTTTGTAAACAACGGAGGGGGTGAAATGGAATTTCATGTAATATGGAATGTCGGGAAATTCCTGTAACAATGCGAGTGGATTCCCTGCCTCATTCATCACCTGTTTCACCCCGTCCCCACCCGCTTGCACTTTTTCAACTAGTAGATCTATGTGCTTTTACGACATAGATCTAGTTTCGTATACAATGCGTTTAGCTTTTTGGTATGTGCTGAATTTGAAATGGGAGACGGCTTGACTCATTTTGTTTTATTAAAAGATCCAAATTTTTTTTTAATAAAATCATTTGAATTAAACTTTTTTTTTGTTGAATATTCATAGAAATCTTTTATTTGAATACAATAGGGGTTAAAGTAGGCTCACTGAAGGTATAAAAGTAGATTGGAAAATGTATAGAATTGTTCCGTTTTCGCAATAAAGCGTCCAAACACTTTTTTTTTTTAAAAATGTGTTGTTATAATAATTGTCTTCATAACGATGTCTTTGAGGGTGGTGTGTGTGTGGGGGGGGGGGGGGGGTGGGTGGGGTGGGGGGGGGTAGAGGGGAAGGCAACGTTGATGCTCGTATGTCAAATATGAGCCGCCAGCCAGAGTTTCTTTCATGCATAATGCCCCTCCTCCCCCCCCCCCCTTCCACCAGAAGAACGTCTTCCGCCTCACACCCCCCCCCCACCCCCCTCAAACGAAATAGAATTTGTATAGAAAAATATTTGCTCTGTTACTTTTATCAGTGAAAAATGAAGCCTGGCCTTGACCTTGACCCACCTCACGAGACAAACACGGCTCAGTTGCTTTTGGTGGACCTTAAATCAACCACGTCACTAGAGCTTCTACAGTGATCGTAGTCACCCCTCACCCCCCCCCTCCTCCCCCCTCGCCGATATGTTAGGAAATTGATGAAAGTTATTGGCAAGACGTATTTAACAAGATTAAGTGTGTGTGTGCACTGTTCCAGTCTCCGTGTCAGTATTTCATTAATCGTCCTGGGTATAGCAGACAGCTATATCGTGTGGGATGGGTGGGTGGGGGGGGGGGGGGGAGGGGATTTTCCATTTACATATGGACTGTGGAGTTTATTTAGTCGTGGAAACATATTTCTGTGGCTGACAGGTTTGTGAGCAGAGTTTCTTCCAGGCATCTCTTCGGGGGGGGGGGGGGCAAAGCCCCCGAAAAATTTTTTACCGCCCCCCCCCCCGAACGAAATGAAATTTATATAATTTATATAGAAAATATATACTTTTAACAGTGTCCGCCCCCCCCCCCCCCCCCCCCGAAGAAAGTTTACCGCCCCCCCGAAAATTTCAAGTGCCCCCCCGGAGAAAAAAGTCTGGAAGAAACACTGTTTGTGAGGGGGTCAGTTAACTGTCTGGCTTTAAGCGTCTGGTGAAGTCTGTTGTTAGTATAGATATAACAGTCCTCTAAAACTCAGTCACGTCCTCTAGAACTATGTGACGTCCTCTAGACTCAGTGACTTCTTTAGACAGAATGAAGTCCTTCAGAAAGTGAATTTCTTAAGTAAACGAGGTTTGGTTCAGTTAACGACGTCCTTCAGAAAGTGACGTCCTTCGAAAAATTACGTCCTCTACAACGTGACGTCCTTTTGACAAAGCTAAGTCTTCCAATAATTGACTTTCTTTAGAGAGAGTGCCGTCCTAGAACAAGTGACGTCTCTCCCAGGTTCAGTGACGTCCTAAACGTATCGGCATCCCCAAGAATTAGTAACGTAATTCTGTCTCATAGAACTCCTCCAGACCCAGTACTTACCCGGAAGTCTCCACTTTGATTGCGTGGCACACACAACATACACTTTCAGTATTTTATTCTTGAAAACGTATCCCGCAGCCAGTGTTTCTTCCTGACTTTTTCTCCGGGAAGAATATATAGATGCCTGGAAGAAACTCTGCCTGCAGCTAGCTGCTATGTATAAAGTGTGACTTATTCTGTTCCCGATTCAAGTTTTGTAAAATTGGAGATTTCCTCCAACACAATGGAGGCGAGCGAGTTGACGAGATTCCTTCCATAATATTGTTGACATGGAATAAAAACGTGCTTTTTAGATTTAGACCGTAAAAAAAATAAAAAATTAAAACTTAAGCCTAAAATTAATTTAGAAATTTTATATTTTTAGAATAAATGCTATAAAAGTTGCAAATCCAGAGAACTTGAAAATAATTTGTTGAGTTTAAGGCTACATTTCTATTTATTTTCATCAAGCCTAAGTTAAAACCGGAAGTTTCACTTTCGTAAGACAAATATTGATTGGCTGTACAGTAACTTAGTGATCGATAACTATTTGTTTACAAAACTTTGCAGATCAAGTTTTTAAATAACAATGCAAATTAAAAACCCCATGACATAGTTTTCTATTTTTAGCTTACAATGTGTACAATAAAATTGATGTCGGCCTATCCAATAGCAGGATGCCATTGTTTATGTCTCCATTACACGTGAAAACCACATTGTTTTGGCTTGTTTTTAAATTTTCAATTAGTTACCGAAAATTTTTAAAACATCAAATAGACCCAATCTTTAGTAAAGTCCGAAATAAACCAGACAGACAGGATTTTATAACCATATTAATTGTAACTACGCCGTGCCTGATTTTTAAACTAATTTATACACCTCTCAAATACCTTTGAGAGTTTTCTCGCTCGTGTCCATTAAGCATTACGTGACAACATTTTATATGCCCGTCGACAACCTGCATTTCTTTCCCGGTTCGCTTCCATAGCCATTGTCTAGCTATGAACAAACTACAAGACAAGAGTTGTTTGATTTTAGAGTTATCTCTCCTAGATGAGTTGCTGTCCCCAGTTGACAAGCTTCATCTACCCGGGGTTCGAGCTCTGGATTTAGCAATCAGTCGCAATCCTGCCTGACCACTTAATCCCCTTATAGTATGAGTGTAATCCGTGTTTCTTTCAGGCTTTTTTTTCTCCGGGGGGGGGAGGGGGGTCGCACTTGAAACGAAGAGATGCCTGAAAGAAAAACTGAGTGTAATCGAACTGGATTGTTAGCCGCGTAGCCTTCACATTCCGACATCTAAGGCGGGGTTTTCCGTTTTTTCCGCCGTCTATTTATAAACAGAAATGTACTTTCTATAAGCCCCTCCCCCCACTCACACATGTTTATAAGCTTTTACATTTTAAAGCCGCCTCCCATCCTTGGCTCAACCCATCCCTCCCTCATCTCAGCACGCCACGGGGCTTAGAACTAAGATTATAACGACATACAATAATCCCGAGTGATTTAAATTTAGAGCTCAAATCGAAACTAGCGAGTCAGATCTGTTTATCTTCGTTTTGTCCAAAGTCGATTCTCCTCAGCGGATTTTTTTTTTTTAATTACAGAAATAAATTTGGTCCAAAAAATAGTTCAAGAAAATTTTTTGTGTGTGAAGATAATAGATTATATAACGAAACGTCATTTAAAAAACAAACAGTATTGTTTTCAAAGGATAAGTCTTTAATTTATTTTTAAATCAACTCTTACAATTTTTGTAGTCAGGATTAATTTAATGCGGGGATTGGGTAGGGGATGTTCAATGCCTTTTATCCATACTGAACTGTTAAAATTAAAAGAACATTTTTGTAGCTTGTTTTCCAATATTAGATTCTCTTGTTTTGTTAGACAGAAATTTAATTATATTTTTGCCACTTATGTAATCTTGGCCGTGACTTTACGTAATTTTAAAATTTCCGCACTATTTGATGAGTTTATTATTTGGTTTAAGTTCTAGTTGTGTGCCTACAGTGATGCTTCGTGTTTGTGTTGATTTTGACAGAAAACCTATAGTCTGTTATAGCGTGTGGAGCGGCCTTAGACAACAAACTACAGTTAATTACACGATTAGAATAAAGCAAGATTTTTAAAAGTTTGAGGCTATAGACGTCGACAAAAGATTTAAGTCATAGAAACAAAATTAAATTAACGTAATCGAAAACTTGAATTTTTAAGCTTGAATGCGGGTATAAGAAAATCTAATTAAAATTAGGCTTAACTTAGTTTTAAAACGGAATTTGTTTTTGCAGAAGATGAAAAGGAGCTAGTCAATATTGTAGGTGAATCATATTAAACTTAGCAGGAATCGGAGCATTTAGAAACATAAACAACATAATTAAAAAATTATTTTAATTTGCAGAAATTAAATTATTTGGAAATAGATAAAAACTGAAAATTAATTTTCAGGAGTCTGAGGATCCAGAAAAATAACTTTTTTTAAAAAGGGGAATTTTTAAAATTACAGTGACGGAAAAGTTTAGTGTCACGAACAGTGAATTTTCAGGGATCAACAAAGAAAAGAATCAAAGTTTGACTTTTAGGAACCAGCAATTCAATGTCAATATATTTTATTTATTTATTCAATAACGGTAACAACAGCAGGCACTGAGGCCTTTTTTATATTGGCTGTTTTTTTTTAAACATAATAACAACATTATAATTTAAAAAAAATGATTTGTAAAGACATAGTAGTTAAATAGTATTCAAAAATTTGGAACAAAGAAATAGTATTACATCTAAGAACAATGTTGATTTTCAGAAATCAGCAAGTCTTAGAACAATATGGATTTTCTGGAATCAGCTAATATAAAAAAAAATGGTTTTCGGGAATAGGCTTGTATTGAAGTAAAATGATGATCTTCAGAAATCAGCAAATCTGAGAACAATTTTGGATGCTCAGTAACCTGAAATCTAAAATAAATTGATTTTCAGAAATCAGCAAATCTATAGAAAAAAATTGATTTTTAGGAATCAGCAAATCTAAAAGTAAAATTATGATTTTCAGGAATTAGCAAATCTAAAAAAATAAAATAAAATTATGATTTTCAGGAATTAGCAAATCTATAAAAATAAAATTATGATTTTCTGTAATCAGAAATCTTTTTAAAAAAAATCTTTGACTTTCAGGCATCGGTCTGTGGGGTATGTCCTACATTGGCTGGATCCACAAGAAGGTCAGCATCCTCCACGCCTTCGTCTTCGCTGCCCTCATCTCCGCCGTCGACCCCGTGGCTGTGCTGGCCATCTTTGAGGAGATCCAGGTCAACGAGATCCTGTACATCATCGTCTTTGGCGAGTCGCTGCTCAACGATGGCGTCACCGTGGTGAGTTTTGTTTGGATGAAGGAAGTCACGTGTTTAGTGGTTCAGTGCTTGTGTGACGGGGATCGTTGGGTAGTTGACTTATTAATTAACGAGCCAACCCGCGGCGTATCATATGCCGCTATTTAGTTGTTTTATTCTCTACTTTTCAGTAATTCATAATTTGTGAATTCGACAGCTCCAATGCTGCCACTGAAAATATTTGCTTTAAAACGCTATCAGTAGGTCGTTAAGGATGATACTACCCCCACCCTCCTTTTCCCCAACCCCTACCCTACAACCCCCCCCCCCGTGAAAACAGCCTCCTCTTAGTTACCTCCCCTAAGTTTAAAATCGTTTCAAACTAAATTATCTGCCCCTAATAGCCGTCACTAAACCCGGCTCTACGTTTGTAAACATTTAGCGTGAACCACAGCTCACCAGACCATGTAGGGGTGGGGTGGTAGGGAGTGCGCTTACAGCTTGTTTTCTAGCGTCTCCAAAAAGAGAATTATATATATAGATAGATGTTCGACTTCCCACAATGTGGTGTGTTTTTTAAGGAATAGCTGAAGCCCCATATTTGTGTTAGTCCGTGTTTCTTTCAGACATTTATTTTAACCGGGAAGGGGGGGGGGGGCACTTGAAATTTTTGGTTGGGGAGAGGGGAGCGGACTTAAACTTTGAGAGGAGGGGGGACACTGGTTTAAGTATATATTTTGTAAAATCTATTCCGTTCGATGGGGTGGTGGTGGGGGGGGGGGGTGGTAAACGTGGTTCTGGGAGGGAGGAGAGGTGCCCCTCCGAAGAGATGACTGAAAGAAAATCAGACGTTCGTTTGAATTACAGTTTACTTAAAGCACCAAAATCAGCAAATCATTTTTTTCTATTAGGTGTAGTGCTAGGATTTGTTTGGAGTAGACTCTAGATATTATTCAGTTCCGGTGTTTTGGGAAGAAGTGCAAACACATTTTACATGTTTAGTTAAAATAGTAAGGTTTAAAGTTGTTGTTTTTAAAAATCAGAGTAAGAATTCGCTTTTTTTAAATCAACAAATGTATAATCTGTAATTGTTTTGTGTTTTTTCTTCTTCTTCGTTTTTGTGGTTTCAAAATCACAGTTGAGTATAGGTTATTTACTCACGTAAGTTTTGTTCTACTAAGTTCTACAATTAAGTTCTATAATTAAGTTCTAATTAAGTTAGGAAAATAACACTTTTATCCCTTGGAATACTCCTCCAGGTTATTTATAGAATGATGGAGGGCTTTACGGAGATCGGGGAAAGTAATCTAGAAATCATCGACTTTGCCACTGGGGTTCTGCAGTTTTTCATCGTCTGTTTGGGCGGCACGCTGATAGGTGTCATTTATGGGCTCGTCGGCGCCTTCATCACTAAATACACGGATCATGTGAGAGTTATCGAACCTTTGTTTATATTTGTCCTGGGTTACCTCGCCTACCTGACGTCAGAGATCATGGAGTTATCTGGCATTTTAGCGTGAGTAGATTTTTTTTTTTTTTTTTTTTTTTTTTTTTGCACGAATAATTTTACAATTGGAATTTTATGTTTTTAAAGTGTATTTCGCATACAACTGAAATGTCTGCTTTTTTAAGGGGGGGGGGGGGAATCTGCCTACTCCCTTCCCTACACAAAAAACGTGTCACTGTATAAGGCTTTTCAACATAAGTAGCGTCGTAAGATGTAGGGGGAGGACGTGGGGGGGGGGGGGGGGGGAGGGGGAGGACTGGGTACTTTCCGAGCGGGCAAATCCATTTAGGGGATGACACCAAATCGAAAAAAAATCGTCAAATTTACTTTTAAAACAATGTTTTATCCAGCTAAAATAAAACAAAAAACGGTAAAGTGTTGACACCAGAAACGACAATTCTACGTCGTTAGAGGGTGTGTGGATGGAGGTGACACCCTCGGTTGCGGCACTGGATGACACCCGATATAATGACGCCCCTGCTTGACACCTTTAACACAATGGGCTTTAACCACACTGAAATATTTTCATTGTTTACCGCCCTTCATCCGGGGTTTTTTAATGGGCTAAATTAGTAATACTAGTATTAGGCTTAATTAGAAAGAAGTTGTACTGTTTGAGGTAGAAAAATGTCAATTTGTAGGCAGATATGGAGATAATAATCGTGTGTATTATAAAAAGGATCATGCTGTATAGACCAATAAAAAGATAGTTATCGTTTGTATTATAACAATGGTCTTGCTGTATATGCCGATATAAAGATAGTTATCGTTTGGAGTTATGACAAGGGTCATGCTGTACTGGCCTATGTGGAGACAGTTATCCTTTTAGATATAACGTGTTGTATAGTGTATAGTGAAACAGTAGCAGTTAGGGTTATAAGAACTGTCGTATCGGAGCTGGGGTAGATAGTTGTTAATGATGTCTGTTGTATATAGGGAGAGTAATAGTAAACTATCCGTTTAAATCTGTCTGTACTTTAGGGCAGATGAAGTAGAGTCCGTCTATATCTATGACCCTGTGATATAAGTAACCTTTTCGAATCTGGATATCCATGGCCAGATGAAGATGAAGTAGAGTTCACCTGTTTCTGTGACCTCGGCTTACAAAGAAATAGTGCAGTCGACACTATGCGCAACCGCCTTTACTTTCCCTAATGCGAGTAATGTACCCATCAAAGATTGGGCTCAAGCCCGAGATTCGAACAGGAAATTTTCGGGTTAGCGGTCATACGCTCTAACATCCGACCACGCCGTCCCATGACCTTTGGGATATACATAAATAAATTCACCTATGCGCAACTGCATTTACTTTCCCTACTGTGAGTCAGATAGCCTACCCATCAGTTTCAAGCCTCAGATCCGAACTCAAAACATTCGTGCTAGCAGTCATACGCCCTACCACCCGACCACGCCGTGCCATCAACAAAACTCCAGCACAAAAAAAATCTTTCATTTCCAGCTTAACCTTTGGAGGTATCATCATGAGACATTACACCGAGGCCAACATGACGAAGAAGTCGACGACCACAGTGAAGTACTTCATGAAGTTGATGGCGAACATCTCAGAGACGATCATCTTCATGTTTCTTGGACTGTCCACCGTCATCGACTCGCACGACTGGCAGCTGGATTTCATCCTGTTTGCTATTTTGTTTTGTTTGATCTTCAGAGTAACAGGTGAAGTTGTTGTTTTTATTTAACTGTTTGCTATTTTGTTTTGTTTGATCTTCAGAGTAACAGGTGAAGTTGTTGTTTTTATTTAACTGTTTGCTATTTTGTTTTGTTTGATCTTCAGAGTAACAGGTGAAGTTGTTGTTTTTATTTAACTGTTTGCTATTTTGTTTTGTTTGATCTTCAGAGTAACAGGTGAAGTTGTTGTTTTTATTTAACTGTTTGCTATTTTGTTTTGTTTGATCTTCAGCAGGGGCGGAACTACTGTGCCGCCAGACCCCGCAATGCGGGGGGGGGGGGGCCCACGAAGTTTAGGGGCCCAATTCCGACCAAAAAAACAATGAATTTTCTTTTCATAAATAATGTTTTTCGTGCACCTTGATAGCGGTTTTGTAAAAAACAAACAGGTCTACTATAGCAGTGATTGTTCTACAGTAACTAACACACACTGTTGCGTAGGAAAATATAAAATCTACAAGAGCTCTACTTTGAAAGATGGGCAAACGTTCACACTACTTCCATGACTTACTGCCCTCTATTAAAACACGGGTGCCCATATTACTCATTTAAATAGTTTTGTACTATGTAAATTAAAGAGCCATTTATTCTCTTAATTATTATCTAAATAAGACATACTAAAGAATCATATAGCTATAAAAATGAATGTATTCAAAGCTAATAATATAAATACAAAAAAAATCATAAAAATAAACATAACGCGAGAAACCATTGCAAAATCAAGCTTACGTGTTTATATAATTTTGACCAGCCAGCATTGTTGTCACAATTTTCGGCAAACATAAAGGCGTAATACAAACATTTGTAAAACGTGATTATTGTTGTCTGGTTCGTTATCTCAGAGTGGTTATACATTGCAATAAAATAGATTAAAATACTCAGGTAAGAGACTATTTAAAATTTAGAGAAGCGGGCTACTTATATATATGTATGTATGTATGTATGTATGTATGTATATATATATATATATATATATATATATATATATATATATATATATATATATATATATATATATATATATATTATATATATATGCATATATACATATAGGGGGCCCAAAAAATTTTTTGCGGGGGAGCCTTTTTTTTCTAGTTCCGCCACTGATCTTCAGAGTAACAGGTAAAGTTGTTATTTTTATTTAACTGTTTGCTATTTGTTTTGTTTGATCTTCAGAGCAACAGGTGAAGTTGTGGTTTTTATTTAACTGTTTGCTATTTTGTTTTGTTTGATCTTCAGAGTAACAGGTGAAGTTGTTGTTTTTATTTAACTGTTTGCTATTTTGTTTTGTTTGATCTTCAAAGTAACAGGTGAAGTTGTTGTTTTTATTTAACTGTTCTGATGTGTTTTTGTATGTTTGTTATTATGTCTGTTTGAATCATTTTCTGTTCGCCAATCTATCTTGGCTGTTTGTCTAAATTCGTTTCTGTTCTTTTTTATCTAACCTAGCTTTTTTTTGTTTATCTTAATATTTTTTTCTGTTTTTTATTAAAAATTTTTTTATCTAACCTCGATGTTTTGTTTATCTAAATATTTTTTTCTGTTTTTATTTTATCTAACATGCATGTTTGTTTGTCTAAATCACTGTCAGTGTTACGTATGTTTTTTGAGGCATGTTAGAAAAAGTTTTAGATCCCCTGGGATAGTTAGGGTGAGTTATGGTTAGTGGCGTGTTATTGTTTTAGTCGCCCTAATATTAAATGGAGGTATAAAGTTAGGGCGATTGTTATGGTATTTGGTTAGAGGTAAAGTGAAAGGAAAGTTCCCTTTTCGAAACCTGAAGTAGAGTTTAACTGTTTCTGTGACCTCGGCGTATAAGGGGATAATGCAGTCAGTATTATGCCTTGTCGCCTTTACATTCAATAACGTAAGTTAGGTACTTATCAGAGCTGGGTCGACTCAGCGACGTTCTACTCTACTGCCTGAGGATTAGGGGAAAAATACTATACAACATTACAATTAAGTTTAACATTATGATTACGGTATTCAGTTTTAACTGAGGCTTAATTAATTAAGGTTTATTTTTTTTATGACTAAAGGGTGGTCTATAAATGACGTCACGCTAGTAAGGGAAGGGAGAGGGAGGTCAGTAATTTTGTGACGATATGTGATGAATGGGGGGGGGGGGGGGGAATTCAGCTAGTGTGACGATAAACTTTAACATTTTAAAAAAGTAATGTTGTAAACTAAATTGTAGCCGTTATTTCGTGTTTTTGAAAGCTATTTTCTGTAAATTTTAATAGAAATTGCTTAATATACTCAATGATGAACGAGCCCAATTAGGTAAATATATTTTAGAAAGAAAACGATGGTTTTAAAAAAAAAAAAAAAAAAAAAAAAAAAAAAAAAAAAAAAAACATCGATTTTACAGGAGGATGTTAACTGAGGTGTGACGTCATTATAGGTGGGTGGGAATATTATTATTTTTTTTTTGTGTCGATATGTTACGGAGGGAAGGGTGCAGGTAAAAATCATCAAAAAACTCAGGCGTCATGTATAGATGACCCCCCCCCCCCCCCCCACTTCCTTAAACAAAATATCTAAAAAAAATTGTTTCGGTAAATGTATCTTGTTTTCTGTTCTTTAGGTGTTGTGTTTTTATCGTCCATGGTCAACCGGCGCCGTCTGATTCGTCTGTCCCCCATTGACCAGTTCATCATGTCCTACGGGGGTCTGAGGGGTGGGATCGCCTTCTGTCTGGCCCTCCTGCTCGACCCCGGTATGCCGGACCGTGCCATGTTCGTCACCACCACCCTGGTCATTGTCTTCTTCACGGTCTTTATACAGGTGAGTGGGGGTTATAGGGGGTGGGGGAAAGGGGGGGGGGTTATACTGGCTGGGGGGGGGGGGTCAGGGGTTTTACTGGCTGGGGGGGGGTCAGGTGGTTGTACCGGCTGGGGGAGGGGGGTTATACTAGCGGGGGCGGGGGGGGGGGGGTCAGGGTTTTATACAGGCTGGGGGGAAGGGGTTTGTACCAGCTGGGGGTCAGGGGTTTATACCGGCTGGGGGGAAGGGGATTGTACCAGCTGGGGGTCAGGGGTTTATACCGGCTGGGGGGAAGGGGATTGTACCAGCTGGGGGTCAGGGGTTTATACCGGCTGGGGGGAAGGGGATTGTACCAGCTGGGGGTCAGGGGTTTATACCGGCTGGGGGGAAGGGGATTGTACCAGCTGGGGGTCAGGGGTTTATACCGGCTGGGGGGAAGGGGATTGTACCAGCTGGGGGTCAGGGGTTTATCCTGGCTGGGGGGTCAGGGGTTTATACTGGTTGGGGGTCAAGGGGTTATGCTGGCTGTGGGGGGAGGGTCAGTGGTTTATACTGGCTGGGGGAGGGTCAGGGGTTTATACTGGCTGTGGGGGGGGGGCGGAGGTTATACTGGCATGGGGGTCAAGGGTTTATCCTGGCTGGGGGGTCAGTGGTTTATACTGGTTGGGGGTCAGGGGGTTATGCTGGCTGGGGGGGGGGTGGGGTCAGAGGTTTATACCGCTATCTGGGGGAAGGGGAGGGTGAGGTGGGGTCAGGGATATAGACCTACTAGCTGGGGGGATATAATAAGGAGATTAAACTAGCTGTGTGGGGGGGGGAGATCAGGGGTTTATACTGGAGTGGCTGGTGGTGGGGGTAGGGTCAGTGGAGCTTCTCCAACTTGGTATAGGGGGAGAGGGTGAGAGCTGAAGCCCGCAGGGTGAGGGGATACAGGGGGGAGGGCGTAACAAAACTCCAGGAATATCAATTTATGAGAAGTGACATATTTTCTTGAGATTTATAACGCTAACATTTACAGCCTTTAAAAAAAGGATCGATGTAAGCCAATATTGTTAAATGTACAGCGTTTTAGTATAAGAAGGTGATGAATTTTTTTAAATTTCACCCTAAAGTCAGTATAACTTAGATAGAACATAGAGTGCCAATTGTATAAACATACATAAAAGTATTGCAACAACTCACATATCACTGGTGTTTTATTTCATCCTTAACCCATTCGATATTGTTGAACAACACAGTGCAATTTGTGAAAACATACATAAAAGTATATCATAAACACACATATAAATGTGTTTAATTTATCCTTACGCCCATACGATATTGCTGAAAAACAGTTCATTTTGTCAAAACATATATAAAAGTATCTCGTAAAAACACATATAAATGTGTTTATCCTTAAGCCCTTAAGATTAGTTTAAAAAAAGAGTGCAATTTGTGAAACCGTAAATAAAAGGGTTGTACGTGGTTTGAAGATAACAACACTATGGGCATATCAACATGTTGTTTTGTTGTTGTAAGCTGATCATGCATGGTCTCCTGTGTTGACGTGGGGTTAAAGTACAAACAGTGGTAACAGCCGGTGGTGGGGTCAAGTCTTGTGATTGATTGTGTGGGTGGTCGGGGGGGGGGGGGGGAGTGGAGGAGGCTAGGTGTGAGAAAGTGGAGTTGGGATGGATTGTATTTATGGGAGTATGGGGGTGGGGTGGTGAGGTTGAGGCTAGGTTTGTGGGGGAGGGTGGTTAGTTGTGATGAATTGTGTTGGGGGGGGGGTGAGGGTAGGTTTGTGAGGGAGGGGGGAGTTGGGATGGATTGTGTTTGTGGGGGTAGGGGGTGAGGGTAGGTCTGTGAGGGAGGGGGGAGTGGGGAGGGATTGTGTTTGTGTGGGTAGGGGGTGATGAGGTTGAGGCTAGGTGTGTGTGGGTGAGTTGGGATGATTGTGTTTGTGGGGGTAGGGGGTTAGGTGTTTTAGGGGGGAGGTGGGATTGATTGTGTATGTGTGGGTAGGGGGTGAGGTTAGGTGTGTGAGGAAGGGATAGTCGGGAGGGATTGTATTTGTGGGGGTAGGGGCTGAGGGTAGGTAGGTGTGTGAGGGGGGGGGGGAGTTGGGTGGAATTATGTTTGTGGGGGTTAAGAGCTAGGGGGTGAGATTAGGTGTGAATATCTGTATGTACATTACGTCATTAAAGGATAATTGTAAGGGAATATATGCTAGTGAAATATAATGACTAGGACATATTTTACAGTAAGTAAGTTAGGAATGTAAGAAAAGTTATCTATAAATTATATTTCTAATTGTAGGTTATGTGTACATATTAAGTAATGCACAAAACAGTATAGGCCTTCTAAGCCATTCATTAAATAAGCACTAAACAATGCAAGAAACAACATACTAAATAAATAAACAAAACATCAAATAAAAACAACAATGTACTAAAAATAACATAAATAAACATTAAAAACATGTTAAATAAATACTAAACAATGCAAGAAACAACATACTAAATAAATAAACAAAACACTAACTAAATACAACAATATACTAAACAATATCATAAATAAACACTAAACAATATGTTAAATAAGCTCAAAACAATGCACTAACAACAAGCTAACAATAACTACATTGAAACACAATAGTTCTGTAAGCTGGGGGTGTATTTGCCAATAAAAATAATTTTGCTGAACTTTGTTTATTGACTTTTTCAAGCAATAGTTCATATGATTGATTATGCTACATTAATAGATACGCTCATCCTATAGGGTATAACAATCAAACCTGTTGTCAATGCTTTAAAAGTGGAGAGGGCGGAGGAGAAGGATCCATCCATGAATGAGATGCTTCACAAAAGGGTGAGTGGTTTTTCTTTATGCTTGTTGGTGATGTGTACTAGTGTAGTGTGCTCATGCAGGTGTTGGGGATGTGTAAACATGTAGTGTGCTCAATAAGTGTTGTGGATGTGTACTAGTGTAAAATGCTCATGTACGTGCTGGTGATGTGTACTAGTGTAGAATGTTCGTGTAGATGTTGGGGATGTGTAAAATTTAGAGTGCTTGTGTACTTGATAGATGTGTTCAAATGTAGGGTGTTTGTGTACATGTTGTTGTGTACTAGATAGGGATATGTACAAAATAGAATGTGTGTGTACTATTTTTGAATGTGTACAAATATGATGATGAATTTTTTTAGGATTCATGCATTGAAAATCATCAGAAAACATTCAATTTAAAAATAGTGCATCATAATTAAAAAAAAAATTTTTTAATCTTTCTATACTCAAAGCTGGATTGTTCCTTTAAAGGTACAAAAGCTTGAATAGACAGATTACTAATAAACTATGGCCTGGATATTTTGTTTTGATGAGGTCTGAAGTGCATGGATGCATCATTTGTAAATCTAGATCTATATATTCAAGTTTTCTTTTGATGTTCTCTTATATCTTATCAATTAGTGGGGAGGTGGGTGGAGGGTGGGTTAAATAAAATTGATGATTGATTCAGTGGGCATTGGCCTATTCAATTTCTCCTGTATATGATGGTTACAGAGGGCTTATTAATAATGGAATTAGCTGTATCATTTCTTATGTGATTCTTATGTTTAGAGTAGAGGGATCAATGACACCTGACACCCTCCATGATTTTTTTCTCCAGGGGGTGGGGGCCGGGGGGGGGGGGGGTCAACTAAGAGGCTCATTTTATGTTTGCTTTTGTATAATTTTCACATTCATTTTTATTTTTTGTGGGTGAGGGTCAGTTAACTCCCCCATCCCCATTCATTTAATTTGAAATAATAGAGAACAATAATATAAACTGTAACAATATTTTGTTACAGAAAATAATTTACTTTAAATGTTTGTGTGAGGTCAAATGTAAAATAATGTGTGTGGTACACTGGCTAAGACCTCTCATTTCTATCAAAAGAAATAGCAAACAGAAGTGTTTATATGATTGAAACAGGTCACTGTGACCTGTCTTGCAAAAAGTAATGCATGTGTTAAGAATCTGTCTAGACCAGATATGTATTGGGTACATTTATTTCCCTAGATACTTTCCACACACACAGCCAACAGCTGAACATAAGATACCATAAAATAGGTTAACTATGCTGTATAGAAAAAAAAACCTAAAGAAATTGGTCAACAAAAGATAGCATGAATGTTGTTTTAATTTAATTTAGAGTTTAAACATATTGTATCACTGATAAATAAAATATTGTTGTGTCTTTGATAAAATAAGGAGTATAACATTTATTTACTTGTTTACTAATCTGGCATAAATGTTGTTGTAATTTAATTTATAGTTATTATAGTATCACTGATGAAAAAAATATTGTTGTGTCTTTGATAAAAAAGGAGTAGGCCTATAAAATTTATTTAGTTGTTTACTTATCTGGTTATTTTTTATGCACATCTTAATTAAGTAAACTTCCTAAGATTTGGTTCAGTGTCTGTATGCATTGTATATAAAGGTTCAACGTCTGAACTAGATCCTACTTTTTAATGAGCTTCTTTGACTCTCATCTTTCAGTTTATTGATCATTTGATGGCTGGAGTAGAGGACATTGTGGGCAAATCAGGACACAATTCTTTGTTTCATAAGTAGGTGCCAGTCAACTTTTTAAAACATTTAATTTAGCCTGCAGTTTATATAATATAGGCCTATTTTTTAAATTTATGTAATAAATAACATGCCTAATAAAAATATTGATTTTTAAAAATTTAAGTATTGTTGCAAGATCAATGTAGATTAAAAATTTTTAGAGGATATCTAGACTTGTTGGGCAAATCTGGACACAATTGTTTGTTTCATAAATAGGTGCCAGTCAACTTTTTAAAACATTTAATTTAGCCTGCAGTTTATACAGGCCTATTTTTTTATTTATTTTATAAATAAAAGGCCTAATAAAAATATTGATTTTTAAAAATTTAAGTATAGATCAATGTAGATTACAAATTTTGTAGAGGATATCTAGACTTGTTGCACACTGCAAGTATATATTTTCATGTAAATAAAATTACTTTAGACTTAACTCTCTGGGCCAATTAAATAAAACATCAGATACACTCTAACAGGTTTGACTACTACAATTCCAAGTACCTGAAGCCTTGGTTGCTACGAGAGAACCCCAAGTCCCAAGACACATATATTGTACGCGGGTTCACCAAACTCAACATGCAGGACGCCAAGGCAGCGGCCAAGACTTTCCCTGGGATTTCAAGAGACCCGTCCTTTATTAACTTTATGCAGCACAGCCATTCTATGGCCAACTTACTTAGGTTAGTAGTCTGGCCATTCTGTGGCCAATTTACTTAGGTTAGTTGTCTGGCCATTTGATGCCAATTTACTTAGGTTAGTTGTCTGGCCATTTGATGCCAATTTACTTAGGTTAGTTGTCTGGCCATTTGTGGCCAACTTATTCATGTTAGTTTTCTGGCCATTCTGTGGCCAACTTACTTAGGTTAGTAGTCTGGCCATTTGATGCCAACTTACTAAGGTTAGTAGTTTGGCCATTCTATGGCCAACTTGCTTAGGTTAGTAGTCTGGCCATTTGATGCCAACTTACTAAGGTTAGTAGTCTGGCCATTATTTGGCCAACTTTTTTAGGTTAGTATTCTGGCCATGAGATAGTCAACTTATTTAGGTAAGTTGTCTGGCCATTCTGTGGCCAACTTATTTAGGTTAGTAGTCTGGCCATGAGATGGCCAACTTATTTAGGTTAGTTGTCTGGCCATTCTATGGCCAACTTATTTAGGTTAGTAGTCTGGCCATGAGATGGCCAACTTATTTAGGTTAGTTGTCTGGCCATTCTATGGCCAACTTATTTAGGCTAGTAGTCTGGCCATTAGATGGCCAACTTATTTGGGTTAGTTGTCTGACCATTCTAGGGCCAACTTTCTTAGGTTAGTAGTTTCGCCATTATGTGGCCAACTTATTTAGGTTAGTTGTCTTACCTTCTGTGGCCAACTTGTTTGGGTTAGTTGTTCGGCCAAAGTATTGTTAGTAGTTCAAAAGATTAAAATTTAAAGAATAAATTTCTGCATTCGGAAAGTAGTATGGAAATACATAAAAGCTAACATTTTGCTTTTGGTAGTGAAAATACAATTGTACTTTTATCATAATTTGGACCATACACAAAACAACAGAATAACAGAAAAGCTGTTATGAAGTTTTACAGTAGCTGTAAGTGTGATGGTTTCCTTGTTTACAATTTTACAAATATATTTTTGTTTTCAGTCGTCGGGCAACTATTGGTGTACCAAATGATGTTGTGCTCAATTTACCACCAGAGTTTGCAGTGAATGGAGATAACGTGGCCATGCAGAATGTTCTAGAGGAGTCTATGTTCAGTCCTCGGAGTACTGTAAGTTATTTTTTCATACTGTTTTTTTTATTACTTTTTCCTGATCTTCAGACATGGATATTTATAGGTTTCACTGTAAACAGAATCATACATCAGCAAATTAAGTGCAGTCTCAAATACAGGTGAACTCTGCTTCACCTGATTTATTGACTCTGGTACTGAAGTTGTTTCAGTTTTTTTTAATTTATAAAAAATTAACTGTTGTACTATTTTTAAGATTAGCAATACCTTAGAAAGTTTTATTAAGAAATCTAACTTAGTGATGTGAAGTAAGCTGATTATGTAACATATTATCTCAGTTCTTCTTCTTTGTTCTTAATCATACTCTGGTGATTTCTCCCCACATAATTCAGCATTACTTGTTAACCTGTTGTGTGTCTATAACCCGTTGACTCTGAATTCTAACTGCTTTTCTTTCTGGATCCGCTTCTATAGCCTTTGTCCATCTAAAAACAATATGCAAAGACACACTTGTTTTGTTTTGGAGTTTTCTCTCCTACATGAGTTTCTGTCCCCAGCTAATGAGCCTCATCTGACTATGAGTCTTTTTAAAAGCTCTATGACTGAATTTTTAATTTATTAAGCTACTAAAAGTTGAAGTTGTTTACCTTTATTAAAATTCAGCTAATGACATTTAAAAAAAAATGCTTTAAATCTTTCATCTATGCAGTGGGTGAAAGAACGCAGACACACACTGGCTGAGGTTCACAACCACCCACCCTTCAGGCACACAGAGAGGGAGCACCTGCGACAGTTCATTAGCGACATCCAGGGCAAGGCCAAGGTCGAGGGGGCCAGGAACGGCGTCTACGCCACCAGCACCGACCTGAAGAAAGAGAGGAGAAAAAGTTTGACATCCACCAATCCAGCGGCGGATGTTAAAGTTGGGGACACGGCGGATACAGAGGAGAGTGGTGAGTTGACTTTAAAGTCCCAATTACAGAGGTGTAGTGTCCCTTCCCGGCGCCTGGGGACAAACTTTCAATTTTGCGCCCCCCCTCAGGAACAATCTTTTAATTTTCAATTTGCACCCCCTTCCATATATTTTTTATATTTATAATGCAAAACTGCAGCTAAAATGAGATTTTTATTTGCTTTTACAACCAATTTTGGCGCCTCTTAAGGTCGGCACCCAGGGACATATGTACCCCCCCCCCGCCCCCTCACTACGCCTCTGCCCAATTGTACAATGTATTAGTGAGTTGACTTTAAAGACCCAATTGTACCATGAGTTAGTGAGTTGACTTTAAAGACCCAATTGTACCATGAGTAAGTGGGTTGACTTTAAAGATCCAATTGTACCATGAATTAGTGAGTTGACTTTAAAGACCCAATTGTACAATGTATTAGTGAGTTGACTTTAAAGACCCAGTTGTACCATGAATTAGTGAGTTGACTTTAAAGACCCAGTTATACCATGAGTAAGTGGGTTGACTTTAAAGATCCAATTGTACCATGAATTAGTGAGTTGACTTTAAAGACCCAATTGTACCATGAGTTAGTGGGTTGAGTTTAAAGACCCAATTGTAACATGAGTTAGTGAGTTGACTTTAAAGACCCAATTGTACCATGAATTAGTGAGTTGACTTTAAAGATCCATTTGTACCATGAATTAGTGAGTTGACTTCAAAGACCCAATTGTACCATGAATTAGTGAGTTGACTTTAAAGACCCAATTGTACCATGAATTAGTGAGTTGATTTTAAAGACCCAATAGTACTGTGAATAAGTGAGTTTGACTTTAAACTCTGCATTGCTCCATGAACAAGTGAGATGACTTTAAACACTGCATTGTCCCATGAACTATTTCATTGACTTTAAACATCCAAATGTGCAATAAAATAGTGATTTGACTTTAAACACCATTTTATTCAATGAACTAATTTTTAAACTTTAAACACCAAATAGTCATATTATAAACTTGTGAATTGACTTTGAACACCTCATTGTCTGATAGAGTACTGAGCTGAATTTAAACACCTTTTCGTTCAAAAGATTAGCTTAGTCTCTTCTACAAGGACTAGGAGGTGGAAAGTTGAAATTTGATTAAATGGACCACACATTTTTTTAAAATCTTAAATATGAATGAGGGTTATGTGGTGGGTGAGGTAGAGCACACAACCGCTAACCCAAAAGTCTCAAATTCAATTCCCAGAAATGAATCTAACATTTTAGTGACTAAACCCAACACGGTTGGGTACCTAATTAAGCTGAGAAAAGTACCTGAGCATATTTCTAACCAAAAAATCTTCTCATATATGAGACCAAATACACTCTACTTCACCTGACAGTTACATCACTACTGCTAATTTACACACGTTTATTTTTAAAAGGTGTACCTGTTATACGCTGATCTTATATACATTTCACATTACCTGTATATCAAAGTTTTCAGACATTGCATGATGTATTGTAGCAAAGTTGTATTGGCTTTAGAAAAACGTGGACATGTTTTATATATGGTTGTTATTAAAAAAGAGCTTTTGTTTGGGAATATATCAAGCCACTTTTATTTTTATTTTGCTGAAGCCATGAAAGCAAAATCTACTTCCTCTGCCCTATGAAGGTATTGTTAGACCTGAAGGAATACTAGGCATGTAATAGTTTATAGGCCTACTCTACTTTTTAAAGTCAAATAAATTGCTTACTACATAAAATGATTGATATAATTAACTTTAAGTAAAGTCAAATTTTAGTCCAAAAAAATATCTGAATTAATCTTATATGTTTAAAAAAGTATTTTCATCATGAATATTATCAAATACAAGTAGATCTATATATTTTTTTCTTTTTTTACTTTCTCGTATATACGAAGTATAGAGAAAGTATTGTAATCGTGCACAAAAATCATTTGAAATTTTAACAATTTTCACCGTATTACACCTCAGTCCTTCATCACATCCGAAGTATAGAGGACTTATTTTAATCGGGCAAAAATTATCAATCCAGATTTATCAAAATTAAGAGGTTTTATGCGTAATCCAGTCTGAAAAACTGGACTTTGCAATTCTGTCCGTATGTCTGTGTGTGTGTCTGTGTGTGTGTGTGTGTCCGTGTGTAAACACGATAACTTGAGTACCGTTACAGCTAGGTTGATGAAATTTCATATATAAGTATTTTATCAAAATCGTAGATCCGTATCAACTTTTGAGCGATTTCCGATAACCGGAAGTGGTACTTTTCCTACTTTGAATTTTTTAAAAGCCTATAACTTGAGTACTATTTCAGATAGATAAATGAAATTTCACATGTAAGTAAAAGATCTAATTCTCTACCTTCTGTTAAATTTTGAGTAATTTCCGTTGACTGGAAGTAGTAATTTACGCTACTTCCGATTTCTCAAAAAACTAATGTAAATTTTTAAAGTACTAATAATATTGCGCACTATTATACGCGTTTTTATTCGGCGTTTGCTTGGTGCGCAATGTTTTTTTTATGAGATTATATTCTATTTTTAAAAGTTTAAGTATTTAAAATGGATTAAAAATCATAACTATATCCCCAGTTACCATCCCCTGTTGTTTTATATAAGAATATTCGAGAAAGTTTAGGGGAGATCACTACCGGTTTATCTTTCTTATATGATCATTTATTCAGAATTGTATATCTAACTTGAAACTTGTTTAATACTTTGTAACAGCTATAAATTACAATAGAACCTTTAAAACATTTCAAACTACCATTGTTTGTCTTAAAACTTGAAGCCAGTATACTTTAATCTGATATTTCTAGATCTCGGTAATTTAATCATATAAATGCAAGTGTGTTAATAATTTAGAATTGTTTTGATACATGCCTGCCATTCTTTTGCGATAAAAAATACACAAATCTCAAAACGCTGCCAAATTATTTTTCTTTATAACTACTCTCGCTTAACTCCCTTACGCTTGCACGCGTTTAATCGAAGCCAAACTGTAACCAGGTGTATCATATAATTATGTTACAACATTTATTTCAGCAAAATAAATATTCAGAGCGTATTTAAAAGCTATTAAATTTAACGGCGTTGCAAAGGCCTTTATTCAGAGTTTCTTTCAGGCATCCCCCCCCCAGGGTGATGTGACACTCTCCTCTTTCTACGAGTAAATCCACCGCCCACCTCTCAAAACTGCCCCCCCCCCTCCATTGGAAATCGTAAATGAGGTCCCCCCCCCCCTTCCCCTTCCCCTGGAAGTTTCAAGTGTCCCTTCCCCTCCCCTTCCGAGCAAAATATCTGAAAGAAACCCTACCTACATTTATTTACATTTTTTCCTAAAATTAAAATAATTAAATGCTCAGTGCAGAGTTTCTTCCAGGCATCTCTTCGGTGGGGGGGGGGGGGGATATATATTTAACAGTGTCCGCCCCCCCCCCCGAAGAAAGTCTACCGCCCTCACCCCCCCCCCCCCCCATAAAAAAATATTCCAAGTGCCCCCCCCCCCGGAGAAAATAGTCTGGAAGAGACTCTGAGTGCTTTTCCGCTGAGGAGGTAGGGGGCGGGGGGGGGGGGGGGTAGGGAGAAAGCTGTCTTCTTATGAGTGGGATGATAGAGCAGTGCCAACCTCCCCCCACCCCCTTCCCACGCCCCTCTTGAAGGAATACCTAAAGGAAACTCTGTAGGGGAGGGGGGGGGGCACATCACGTGATGCTTTAATTAACAGCGCTGGCATAGTCGCCTTTGTAATAAAAAAAAAACACCCAGTGATTTGATCTTATAGCCAAGCTACCATCACGCTATCCCATCCGACAAAAAAACAACAATAACAAAAAACAACAGTACCAGACAGCACTCAAATATTGCATAACTTTTCGTGCGAGACAAACTTCCATCATAGCTATAATCTCGCGGGGGTAATTTTGGTACGACGTTAAGTTAGTGTTAGATTGGTGTTAGAATAGTGGCAGGTTAGTGTTAGGTTAGGTTAGGTTAGAGTTAGTGTTTGGTTAGAGTTAGGTTAATATTAGCCGTTAGGTTAGTGTTTGGATAGTGTTAGGTGGTGTTAGGTTAGTGTTAGGTTGGTGTTAGGTTTGTGTTAGTGTTTGGTTAGTGGTAGGTGGTGGTAGGTTAGTGTTAGGTTAGTGTTAGCCGTTAGGTTAGTGTTAGCCGTTAGGTTAGTGTTAGTGTTAGATTAGTGTTAGGTTAGTGTTTGGTTAGTGGTAGGTGGTGGTAGGTTAGTGTTAGGTTAGTGTTAGGTGTAGTACCAAGCGCCAACGCGATGGTAATGTGTCCTTTGTGTGTATGTGTGTGTTGATCGGGGGGGGGGAGGGTCATTGTTGGAGATCAAAGCTATTGGGGGGGGGGGCTTATCTTCATTATATTTTTATCTGCCCAAGTCACACGGGGCAGATAAAGTAGAGTCCGTCTCAATTAATGACCTCTGCATACGAAGGGATGTTACAGATATACCCAACCGCATCGGTTTCCCTAACGTGAGCCAGGTACCCATTAGAGCTGGGTGGACTCAGGGACTTCCTGCAGACTTTAACCCGGTATTCGAACTCGATAATTTTTTGGGTTAGCGGTCTAAACTCTATCATCCGACCACGCCTTTCCCTTATAGTCATTGGGTTGTCTATGGAAACATCCTATGAAACAGAGAAGTGAATAAAACAAAAGTGTATCTTAGCTGTTTGAATGTGCGGTATAGACAGCTCACCTCCAGTTTCCTATTTTCTTTGTCTTGGAAGAAAGACACACACAGACGTATTGACTATTCTGTACGCCTTGCGTTCTCCCCTCCCCCCCTCCTCCCCCCCCCCCCCACCTCTCCTCTCCCTCCTCTCTACTCATCCCTGTGTAATTATCACCCGATAATTTGCCGCGGGATCAAACACGATTAACCGAGAAACGGGTGCCAATTCACTCCGGATCATCAAAAGTTTTAACGCTAGCCTGTGTTTCGTATGTACCATCACACTATATCATGGTGACAGC